ACACATGCCAGGCAAGGGCTCTACCCCTAAGCCACAACCCTAGCCCCGAACACCCAGCTTTTGATCCAGTGGGTCAGACAGCCCCCACATTGTGGAGGGCAGCTCAAGTCACAAGGGCTTGGTCCCCTAAGGGCAGGAACTAGAAATTGTTCCTTAACAGAGTAGTTGAAGTGGGGCATGGGGGCACTCACCTGTAATTCCAGCTACTCAGGAGGCTGAGACAGGAAGATCACAAGTTCAAGGTCAGCCTGGGAATCTTAGAGAGAACCTGTTTCAAAATATATGTATGTGTGTGTATATATCTATCTATATCTATATATATATATATAGGCTTGGGGTGATGTAGCTTAGTGGTAAAGTTCCCAGGTTCAAATCCCAGCACCACAAAAGAAAAAGAAAACTATTTTTTTGTTAAAGATTTCACAACTTTGCTCCAACTCTGAAAGGTCTGTTTTGTTATTCATCCAAAAATTGACATAATTCCCATCTGCCACAAGGTTCAGGCCCCATGGAGTGCACTTGGTCACATGGCCTTCATTACAGAAGGGCTGGCTCCGTAGGCTGGCCTTCTTCAGTAGTTCTGGCCAAAATCCAACATTACTGGCTTATTAAATGACTTCGAATATGAGGCAAGGTGGCAAGCCCAAATGTGGGCATGCTGCCTTCAGAGGCCTATTGGCTGAGTAGTTGTCACACCTGTTTCCAGTAGTACCCAGGAGCCAGTACAGCAGTGCCAGTGGTTGGGTGAGGGAAAGGAAACAGGTTCACATTGCAGCTGCTGATGGGGTGAGGGGCTGGAGCRCACAGTGTCACTGTTGGGTGGGGTGAGGGGCTGGTGTGAACATTCTTAGCTTTTGCATTCGGCAGAGTCAAAGATAGAATGAGTGAAGTCCACTTGTCAATTTCAAGGGCCTTGACAACATGTTGATGGAATGGTCTGTGTTCAAATTGCATAGTTACCAGCCGAGGAGCAAACTGGTAATCAGAAACTGGGAGGAGCAAACTTTCATTTATATTTTATTAATAATGAATGTTTAAAATGAACAAGTAATACAGACAGACTTCAATCCCTAGGTCCTTCATGTCTAGATGTTCATGTTGAGCACGGTTCTCAAATACATGGTCATAACAGATCTACAAGTTATAAAAATGGAATACCATGGAAAGATATTACAAAACAACAAAGCTAACAGACTGGAAACAGAYGTGAGAGAGGCGTCACCTTGAAAGCGAGATGGCCTCATTCCAGAACCTAAGGAGAGGCTGTCCTGCTTGAGAGAAGGATGACAAACACACAACAAATCAACCAACATATCTATCCAATTACATATGCTATTATTGGGATAGACTCTGAGGTTGTACCTGAAGGGTTCTTATGTTGAACTTTAAACTGCTTTATAAATTATTAAGAGAATGTAAACTTAATCTGACACTGATGTTTTAGGGGTGGGGCTTTTGGAGGGTGGTTTAGGATTAAATGAGGTCATCAGGGTAGGTAAAGCCTGCACAATTGAGTTCTTTTGACTTTATAGGAAAAGGGTGAGAGGCCAGACACAGACACATGTCACAAGCCATCCATGGGCTGTGCTTGAGCATGTGCATCTGAGCAAATGAGGGGACTGGTCTGGTGTTGCTTTGTTTATTGGGCTGCACAACGCAGTGTGCTCTCCCTTTGCCTGTGATCCCACACAGCATCTGAGATGGGTGTGACTTGCCAAGATGTCAGTCAATCTGCTGACCACAAGACATCACCAAGCAAGACTCCACCCTTTGAGACCCAATCCCTTGCCTTATTTGAGTGAACTTTCTATCAAATGTCCTTTCCCCAATAAATAGAGGGGTTCAGGGTGTGCTTGCTCTCTTGCTTGCCTCTCTTGTTCCCCTTGCTCTCTTTCCAGCGTGGGAGCTGATCTTTGAGGTCGCAGAGCCATCTCTGACCCAGCAATTGAGAAAAAGGTATTTTCATGTTTGTATGGTTTCCTTAGTTATTGATACAGCCAGCTCCTTGAACCTAGCACATCTTGTCAGCCTGGCCAGCTGGCAACAGACACACAGGCATACTTCATCTACACCATGTGAATCCCTGTACCAACTTGGGAATGCCAGTGAGGACATCAGCAGATGCAGGCCCTCAGAATTTTGAGCTAAATAAATATCCCCCTTTAAAATAGTTACCCAGCACTAAGTATGTCATTACAGTAATGAAACACAGATGAATATGTCAACCAATCAACCAACTAATCAATCACATAAAATTGCTTCTAACGATTGCCTAGAGCTTTTTAGCAGGCTGTGGGCCTAGGGGTGGGAAGATGTAGACTCACTACTAAAAAACAAGAATGAACTCAGTTGCCTGCAAAAAAACTCAGTTGCCTGAAACTACCATTACTTGCGTAACACTGAGGGCCTTCAGATGCCCCACTACTGAATCCAAGCCTTTGCCCCAGAGGAAAACAGAAAGTGGGGTCAGACACAAATGCAGCTTACAGGAAAGTTCAGACTCAAGGTATAAAAATAATAGTATTAGTACTTTTCCAAGACATGGTTAGCATAATAGTCTTGACCAATAGCCTTGACCCAAGAGTTATGTAAACCCCTAGACTACTATACCATGTGGCAACCTGCTATTGGGATCCTTTGCCCTGTGGGAGTTATCTTCTTAAATTGTACACCTTTCACTCCTGCCTTCTGTTATTATCCGTGGAGTTCATTCTTCAAATTTGCACCAGAACCCAGAAAGAAATTGGTGGTGAGCAGCTAGGGTCTACTGTGGCACTGGAGGGCATAATCCACCATTAAGAGCTGCAGCATGCCACTTGATGGTAGTGGGGAACTTTCAGAGCTGATGCTGGCAGGCATCCCCTCTTGTGATTAGCTGCTAACAATAAAATGGGCTTTCTGGGCTGCAGACCCCACCCACAATCAGAAACAGAAAATCTAATTTCATTTCAGACTCTGATTTCAATAGGACTGAATTCAGAACTGAAAATACAAATAACAGCGACACTACCAAACAGGGAGCTGTAAGGAGGGGTGTTATGGTTTAGATGTGGTGTCCCTCAAAAGCTCACTGTGAGACAATGCAAGGTTTGAAGAAATGATTGGATCACAGCCTTAATCTAATCAGTGAATGGATCCCCGATGGAATGATTAACCTGAGTGGTAATGGGGGTAGGTGAGGTGTGGTTGGAGGAAGTGGTTCTTTGGGGATGTGGCTGTGGGGTATTTATTTTGTATCTGGAGATGGAAGTCTCTTTTCCTGTTTCTGATCATTATATGAGCTGCTTCCCGCTGTCACACTCTTTTACCATGTTCTGCCTCAGCTTGATCCCCAAGGAATGGAGCCAGCCTTCTATGGACTAAGACCTCTGTAACTGTGAGCTTTTAAACTTTTCTTCCCCMAAATTGTTCTGGTCAGATCTTTTAGTCACAGCAGCAAAAAAGCTAAAACAAGGTGACAAGGAAGAACAGCGTAATGGATCAAAGAACAATTCTCTCTCACAAAGGCAAATGGGGACAATATTCAGAAAGGATATTTATTTGTAAACCTGGAATAAGGGAACCTTTCTGCCGTCAACTGTTTTAGCAGGAGTTCTAGTGGATGGAAAGTTTTATAAAGTAAGGACATACTGAAACTTCCACTAAGATGGGAGTTTTGGAAGTATGTGAGATGTTCTAATGGGTCTTCAAGTATATTCAGTTCTTGGTTGAAAAGGGCAAATGAGCAGTCTGGAATGTTCAGAGCAATGGATAGACTAGACCATGGGATACCCAAATAGCCAGTAAACATTACTTCTCCATTTGTATGCACTTCTGGAAGAGATCAGCATTTGAGTCCTGGGGCTAAGTAGAGCAGACCGCCCTCCTCTATGTTGGTGGGATTTGGTGGGAATCATCCCGTGCACTGACAGCCCAGGAAGGTTGAATTAGCTGTGCCTGTTTGAGCTGCAAACTGATATTTCTTGCCTTTGGAGCTCCTGGTTCTTGGCCTGCTGGAATCTATACCCCTGGCCTTCCTAGGTCTCTAGCAGGTAGCTCGTGGTCTGGTTCTCTCTAGAAAACCCCAGCACAGTGTCCTTGTGAGAAGTGACTGCCATGGCTTGCAGGTTCTCAGAGGGCACCTCTCTTCAAGCTCCCCTGGAACACTAAAGACAATGGCTTGCTGGAGTGGGAGAGGGTTCACGAACACCTTTARGTCCTACTGTTCTTGATTTTGGAATATAAAGCCCGTTCACTAAACACAGACAGCTTAAAAATAAGACCATACGCTAGGTCAAGAAGTGAACCTCAACTTTAAAACAGGAAAACAAATCGGACCAAAATTTTAAATTAGAAATTAATAACGTGTTTAAATAAAAACTAACAAGAAAACGGCAAAGCTCTTGACTCTTTGAAGACTTAACTGTTCCTTCATGGAAAGAAATTTAAGGTGATAAAAATCTAGCCAAAATTTTTTCTTAACCRTAGGAGAAAACTAAATAAGTTTGCGTGGAGAAAAGCCTGAGAACCGAATGAAGTGGGAATCAAAGATGAAAGGAACTCAAAGAACCGGGGAACTAGGGGAGAAGACCGAAGCAGAAGGGGGCGCGGGGCGCTGGAGGCAGGGGCTGGGGAGGCCCCGGGAGGCCAGGCCAGTCGCGCCCCGCAGTCTCAACGCTGGCCGAGCCCGGCGCAGGAGCCGGGTACCGGGCTGGGCCTGCCCGGCAGGTAGCCTCCGCGTGATTCTCCCTGCAGCCGGGCTTCCCGGACACGGGTGTACACGCCTCCCACACGGGCTGGGCTTCTGCGCGAGASCGGGGAGAGCGCCGGCTCGCTCCCGGAAGACACCCAGCACGCACGCGCAGCTGCGCGCGGCCAGGGACGCCACGCCTCCGAGACGCGGCTCAACGCCTGGCAGGGTCCAGGCCCGGCGCGCGACGGGGGCGGAGCCTCACACGGTCACGCCCCGCCGCTCAATGACGCCATCGGGCGGCGACCGCGGCGGGGCCGGGAGGCGCACTGAGCCGCCTCGGACCGGGCTGGGGCTGAGGGACGAGGGCGGGGAAAGAGTCGCCAAGTCGCCGCGGAGAACGGGGCGGGCTGGTGGAAACATGGCGGACCAGATCCCTCTGTATCCGGTGCGCAGCGCAGCGGCGGCCGGCCACAAGCGCGCGGCCTACTACAGCGCCGCGGGGCCCGGGCCGGGGGCCGACCGGCGCGGCAGGTAACTGCGCGGCCCGACCCTCCGCGCCGCACGGGCGGGGCCGGCTTCGGGCCCGGCGCCGCCCTCCCGGCGAGCCCGGAACTTAGTTGAGAGTCGCAGAGGCCGCTGCTCCGGCTGCGCCGGGCGCGAGGGGCCCGCGGAGCGCTCGCTGGCGCCGAGCGTGGCCCTCGGGAGCGCGGAAGGGAGGTGGAGGCGCGGAACGGTTAAGTAGCTGACGGGGCCGCCGCTGCGGCCGGGAGGACGTGTGTGACCCAGGGGCGAGGCGGGCTCCTCGCGGGCTCCTCGCGGGGCTGCCTCCACGCCGCTCAGGATCGCGCCCCTCTCGCGCCACGGAAGTGAGCTGTTGTAAAGGAAGAGGCGTCAAGACTGCAGTTCTACCAAATAAACTCCCAAGTGTTACCTCTTCCAGCTATCAGAATTTTATTTTCTTTATTGCAGAGGTATTGAAGAAATAACCCATGATGCGCGGAGGAAAAAAATACGGATTTTACCCCATATCATATCTTAGCCATTTTACTTCAGAATTTCAGCTTTGCAGTTCTTTTTTGACTGAGACTAACATGCGATCAGAAGAGTTCATATTATGTAATGTGAGAGCTGAATTCGCCCCTGGTCTGTTTATTCACTAGTCGTTTCATCTTAGGCACCTTAAACTTCCCTCGTTTGTAAAAGGATGGGTAATATTTTTCTCACGGAGAACCAATGAAAGATGTCCTTTTTCAAGGTGCTTTCCTGGAAGTGCGTTCTCCAGAGCTGTCATTTCTTCTTTCCCCCTTGATGTTAGCTTTAAGAGTGATTGCATTAGTAATTATCTAAGCATTTAATTTTAGGATATAAATATTTGGAAGTATGCCAGCTTTCAAAACAAGGTTTTTCGTCACATCTTGAGTCTATYATTTTATGTCATTTGGTGCATACACACCCAAAATTTCGTGTCTTGCGCATGTGTTGACCTTTTGTGTTGTTATGTACCATTCCTTTCATAATTTTCTTTCACTCTTAAATCTACTAGGTATTAGAGTAGTACTCATGCACTTTTGAATTAATGTTTGCATAGTGCCAGCTTTCAGTCTACATACTTTGTTCAACTTGAGGTGAAGTTTCTTGTTGGGTCTTGGTTTTTATCCATAAAGTAATTATGATACATTAGGATTAAGTGTGGCATTTTTCTGTTTCTTCTGATTTCTCATTTTCTTGTGTTTTCTCTTTTCTGTCTTCTTTTGTGTTACTTGAACAATTTTTGGTATATGTACAGTGTTTTGAGTGTAGATCTTTGTATGGTTTTCAGGTGTTTGCTCTGGCTATCACCGTATGCATTCAACTTACTGCTATGATGTGTTTTTATCACCATTTTACCTATTCTTCCATTCAGGGTTAGCATTTGGCCACCTGTTTAGACTTAGCACATGGGTCTTGGCCTACATTTGTGGTTTGTAGTTTTAATGACAGTGTGTTGTGCATTTTGGACTGCTTCAATTTAGGTGGTGTCATTGGTCTCTCTTGTGTTGCATGATGGGGAAGAGTGATTTCCCCAGGCCTAGTGTCTCTTGGTAAGAGTTGACAGTGTCAGGCTCCATGGGATAGAGAGACTTCCTTGGTGAGGCACTGGATGTGGTTGTGTCCCCTCCACATGTGCCACCAGCCTGYATTGGTGTCTCTGAGTAGGAGGCAGGAGTCTGAGCACCCCTATTGCAGAGGCTTTCCATGGCAGAATCCTGCTTGGTGGTGCTCCCTGGCCTGCTGGTGCTCCCTGCCTATCCTGGAGTCTTGGAGTAGGGCAAGGCATGGGGGAGGGAGGTGCTGTAAAAGAGGCTTCTTGGACTGGGCCTCTTGGTTGATGGGTAGCACTTGTCAGTGCTACTTGGCTGTCTCACTGGTGGGAGAGGGGAATCTCAGGGTTTCAGGACACAGAGATTTACAGGACTAGCTGGTTGTTGTGGCATGGTTCCCWTGATGGTGCCTACATCCCTCAGTATCCCTGGTGGGAGAGAACAGCCTCAGGCTCCCCCATATGACATTCCTTGACTGCTTACCAGTTTCTAGCTGGTGATGCTGTACTCTCATGATACTGTGATCCTGTTCTATTGGGGTGTGGGGAACGAGCTTTCTTGGCTCCCTTCTCTAGCATGGTTGAAGTTAGGGGCACTGGGCCTGTGGTGCTTTATTCTGTTGCGGGGAGAACACATGAGAGACATGACGCTGTTGCTTCAGCCCAGGTCTCCAGCCAGCCTGCCTTCCTCTCACTGCTGTGGTCTTGGCACTTTTCAGAACTCTCATTTGTGTCTTGCTTTGTTCCAGTTTATTTGTTTACAGTTGGACTTATTGGGGAGTGTCAGGGAGAAATGCCATTTTGTCTGGACCAGAAATTATGCTTCTGTGTTATTTTTTGAAATTGGGTTGGTTTTATTTTATCATGATATGCGTATGGTTTTATTTTATCATGATACACATATAGTTTAAAAATAAAGTGGTGCTAAAAGGCTTATAATAAAACATTATAATTGCTCCATTTACTCAGTTGCCCTCACCCTATTTTTTTTTAACCCCAGTGGCAGTTACTTGGGACCCTTGTAGCTGGTGTTTTCTTTTTTTTTTTTTTTGGTACCGGGTACTGAACTCAGGGGCACTCAACCACTGAGCCACATCCCCAGCCCTGTTTTGTTTTTTATTTAGAGTCAGGGTCTGACTTTTTTATTTAGCGCCTTGCTTTTGCTGAGACAAGCTTTGAACTCATGATCCTCCTGCCTCAGCCTCCCAAGCTGCTGGGTTTATAGGTGTGCTCTAGCTGTTTCTTAAAACCACTRCACTTCTGAAGTCATTCTTTATTCCAGCTGCTGTTAGTGCAGAATTAGGTAACTCCTGCCACACTCATATAGTGCATAGCAGAGATTCCACTCTATTCTATGACTTATCTTCTCAGATGTGTCTTTGTCAATAGTGGCAGTGATGATTAGATTTTACCATTTTCCTGGTCTCCTGAGTTGGGAAGTGTTCTCAACTCTTCTTCTTTCTGCAAGATATTGTTTTTATTCTTTTTAAATGTTTGGTGGATTTRCCAGCAGAACTATCTGAGCATTGGAAATTTCTTTTTTTGGATGTTTTCAATTTATGAATTCAGTTTCTTTATAGTTATTGGGCTCTTCTCACTTTTTACTCCATAGTAGGAGAGTTGTGATAGTTTGTGATTTTTTTTTTTGAGGAATGGTTCCATTTGATAGAAGTTACCAGGTTTATGTGTAGATGTGTAGAGTTGTTCATGGTGTTTGCCTGTTATTCTTTTGATGTTTCTTTAAGATGTTGGTGATATGTACACCCCCCACCCCTACCCATTTTTTTTCTTTTTCTTTCTGGTACTGGAGATTGACCCTAGGGCCTTGTGCATGCTGGATAAATGTTCTACCATTGAGCCACATCTCCAGCCCAGCCAGCTGGACTGCCTATGAACTTGTTATCCTCCTGACTCAGTTTCATGAGTAGCCGGATTACATTTATGCACCAGCATGTCTGGTTTATTTTTGCACTCTTTAACSGGTTTTTTGATATACTTCTCATACAGACAGTTCACCCATTTAAATGTATAATTCTGTGGTTTTGAGTATATTCATAAGTACATGTATCACCTCTTATCCTGCAGCTTCCACTCCACCCTTCATTTTTATTTCCTTCACCCAGCCACCTCTGAATTTATAGATCTTTTTTTTTTATTGTGGTAAAACGTAACATAAAATTTATCATTTTAACTATTTTTAAACATACTTTCTTTTTTGTGGTACTAGGGATTGAACCCAGGACCTTGTTCTCAGTGTCGTTTTTATTTTATTTTGAAAGAGGGTCTGGCTAAATTGCCCAGGCCAGCTTGTGATCCTCCTGTCTCAGCCACTTGGGTAGCTGGGATTATAGGTGTGTGCTACCACGCTTAACTCTTTAAGTATACTGTTGACTTATAACAAATCACTAATTTCATGCTTCAAAACTGAAATGATTTAAAATTGATATAAAGTTTTCTATCAACTATTTTTCTAATTTTTCTGTTTTGGGAACTATGTGCAACCTATAGAATACATCTGAAAAATAAAGAGTGTTAGTGTATTGTCTTACATATACAGAAAACAAAGTTTAATATTATCAGGCTGGAATCTACACACTGGCAAGGGAATGCTTCATAGCTTTAGTAGATGGAAAGACAGCTTTGACATAGACTTTTCTTTGAAAACCTCTCTCCTCAGGCAATGTAAAATTGACATTTTGTTCTTGTTATGTATAAGAAATTATAATTACGTATTTTAAAGGTTTTCAGGTTTTCCTTGAAGTGAATTATTTTTCTTTCACTAGAATTATAACAGTTTAGGACACAATATATTTAAAAGATAAGGCTGGTAAATAATTATAGCTTACATAAAAATTTTCTTCATTGGGTTTAAAATATAAACCCAAAATTCCAAGGGAAGAATTATGTATGATTTGATGGGCTGGGATTGTGGCTCAGTGGTAGAGCACTCGCCTAGCATGCATGAGGCACTGGGTTCAATCCTCAGTACCACATAAATATAAAATAAAGATATTGTGTCTACCTAAAACAAAAAAAAATTAAAAAAGAATTATGTATGATTTGTGTATGGTTTAATAATTATTAAAAAGCTCAACATCACATTATTTTTGCTATCATCAAAGGTGAATATGGTCCTTTTTCAAATGCCAGTAAATAAGTGAAATCAAAGTTCACTGGGCTTCTAATTACATTGTCATTTGAGGTATCAATTTTTCTCACATGGTGAATGTGTGAAGAGTAAGGCATTTTTAAATTTGGTGTCACATTTCTGTGTTTTAAGTGATAACTATAACATTCAAGTTAGCTTTGTGGTTGAAAAAAGAATGAAGGACATCAAACATTTTAATTTTGCTTTTTCATGTATGTTAGTACTTTTTTGTTTTTAGTTGTAGATGGACACAATACCTTTATTTTATTTATGTTTTATGTGGTGCTGAGCATTGAACCCAGT